GAAGAAGTCTCTTGGAGGAGAGACGAAACGTTTCACTAAAGAAGAACCCATCCAGAGGACCTACTCATTTTTTCTTTTTATTACACATTTAGGCTCAAGTTCAAACAGCAGATTCATGAGAAAATACAAAAAAACAAAACACTGGCTCTGATTGGCTACCGTGTTCTGTTGGTTGGGGAGTGGAGCAGTGTTTGACTGAAGGGGAAGCGTTGATGGAAGACACTCTGGACGCTGGAGTTGGAGGGGATCCGGGGAGGGAGGTGGAGGATGGGATGGACAGGGAGCTACGCCACCTGGAGACTGAGGAGGAGGAGGAAACRCAGTAAACAACAACAGGCCTTGTGTCTGGCTGTTACCTCACCAACAGTGTCAGCCACTCGCTGCTCTATTCAACACMGAGAACAAAGCTGGTTTTGACAACAGAGCTGCTGAGACTCTGCAGTACCTAGAGCTGCTGTCTCTCTCTCACTATTTAAAAAACCTGCCTTCAAACAACCATGCAGCCTGCGCCTCCTTCCTTCCAAACGTCTTTCCTGAATTCTACACCCCGACACAGACGCMGACACTGAATTTCTCTTCTTCACCTGTCAGTGTGAATAATAAGCCACTTTGCTACAAAAGAAGGGGGCGCGCTTCTTTCATGTAAAYGGTTTCTATAGCAACAGCTCTGAAGCGGTGGCGAGCTGGTGGGAGGATTTCTGTGCAGCTATAAGACGTGAACGCTGACAGCACCAACTGATGCAACAACACACGCCGCTGCTGCAACTTCAGACAAATCTTGACCAAAAAAAAGAGAGAAAAAGAGCAAAGGGACTAGGTTAAAGGACACAGTTACAAAAACAGAGAAGTAACATAAATTATTCTGGAAACTACTCCCAGCAGAGGGAAGACTGGTAGAAGTGTCCTGTGTTTGTTTAACCACATACTATAACTGAGGCTGATGATCATCACAATGTTTTTACAGATTAATTCAGTTTCTCATCATACATAATCATACTTAATATAATGTATTTCTGACACCCTCTGAGACAGTTATGGTAAAACATTTAGCTGTTTGTAATAAAACACTGAGTTATTTTTGACACATTGGCTGTTCAGCAYGTTTAATCTGACTTTTTTATACAAAGAAATAGTTTTTAATGAACGGATAGTTTTGTACATTAACAAATTATTTTTAGAGGCCTCTACATAGATTCGTCTGCTTTTCCTGTCTTTCATTCCTCTTCTCTCCATGCCTCCACCTCTCCAGACTCTCTTCCACCTGCTCCATAAAATATCCTCTTTAAAGTGTATCTTAGCCCCCCTGTGAAAAGATAACTCCGCCCCAAGGCGAAATTTGAACGCGACAGCTAGCATTAGCATAATTGATGCTACATGGAGAGTGACCACAGCGACGCAGATAGTTACATCTCTGAACGTCTGAGGTGGAGGATTTTCACCCCCCAATATGCAAATTAGCCTGCAGTACCACTGCTCCACCCATATGAGCAGCAAAAACACGTTTTTAGACCAAATATTAC